CCCAGAGAATGCAATGATTCACAAAATCACTTGTAAAGTATAAGTGTTATTCTGGGTTTGCTCAAAGGCAAACCGAATCTAGGATCCATCCAACGGCTCCTCGCATCCTACGTTTAATGATAAACAGGTTGTTATAACCACTCTATTATATAAAGAAAAGACATATAATTTTCAAGGGATATTTTAAATTCAAATTTCATTCACTCATATTATTCACATACTAACTTGAGTGTTGGAGTGATAACTTTGCAGTGAAATTGGTGAGTTTTTTTTAACTAGGAACTTGAGTTTTTTTTAACTTGAAACTTTTGTCATGGTCTTTATAGTGAAATTGATGAATTTTTTTAACTAGGAACTTTCTTTATGGTCTTCATAGAAACTTGGTGAGTTTTTTTCAGCTTAAACTTTTTTTTGTAGTCTTTATAGTGAAATTGATGTGTTTTTTAACTTGGAAATTTTGATTTTCTTTTTGTTATAAAATTTGTGAGTTTTTAAACTTGGAACCTTAGTTATGGTTTTTAGAGTGAAATCGGTGTGTTTTTTTCTTTTTGAACTTTTGATATGTTCATTATGGTGAAATTGTTGTATAGTGAAATTTATGAGTTTTTTAACTTGCAACTTTGTTATTTGTTTTTAAATGGAAATTGTTGAGATTTTTAACTTTGAACTTCTATTTTTCATTTTAAAGGGACATTTTAAATTCAAATTTCATTCACTCATATCAGTCACTCTATCATCGCACTGAAGTCTCAGATCCATCATGGCATCTCGCAATCTCTAATCTCCGATCAATTTTAATTCCCAAATAAACAGAATTAAATAGTTTTTTAAATAATCGTTCAAAATAAATCATATAATTTATCATTTTACATTTTCTTCTCATAACCGATTCAGATTGCATCATAAACCTTTCAGTAACTTCAAATAATTTTAACTAAATCAGAAACCTTTCATCAACTTCAAACAATTTGAACCAAATCATAACTAAAATTTAAGTCAAAAAATCTTTTAACTTAAAATTTTCCATATACATGTATCTGAAAATATTTTCCCATACATATCTCACACTTAATAGTTTCACAATGAACTAACACTTTAATAAAAGTATTGTTTAAAAATAAATGTGATTTCAATTTTCAAATGTAATATTAATTATGTTTTCTAACTGTGCCGCATAATTAACATGGGGATTTGGTTGTGTCACATAATTAACATGGTGATTTGATTATAATAATATTAATTATGGTTTTCAATAATATTAATTATGTTTTCTAATAGTACATAGTTTTAAAACCTTATTTCCTTCTATTTTCTATTTATAACGGTAACAAATAAATTAATAGTTAATAATGATGATCTATATGATAATCATTCTCTTTATTCTTTTACAGCGAATTATAAAACTGAATTTGTACAAAATTAATTATTATTAAGTGTGATTGGATGTTTTTTGTTTAAATGTTTAGATTGAGCTTGAATTAATTTTTCAAACACCAAATAAACCACAAACATAATTTTCATCTCATTATATTTATTTTTAATAGCGTTCAGACGAGCACCCACGTGACCGTCTATATGTTTTTTATAATACTCACACATTTAAAATTGTATTATTATTTTTATTTAATTTTTATTTTATTATTTATTATTTATAAAATAGTAGTAATAGATAATGGTGTCAAAGTTAATAAATTGTTAAATAACCATCCTTTGTTAGAAAGAAAAGTTAAAATTTAAAATAAAAACAGAAAATGATATATTTAAAAAGAAAAAAAACTACACTAAAATTATGTTTTCTCTTTATATATAAGTATAAATTATTTGTAAAATAATAGTAGTAGATAATAATATAAAAGATAATAAATTATCACATAGCTACCATTTGTTAAAAAGTGAATTTAAAATTTAAAATAAAAATTGAAAATAATATATTTAAAAAAAAGAGAAAAAAAAGCTACATCAAAATCATGAAATTATGTTTCCCTTTATATATAAGTATGGATATAATATATAATATATTTTGGATCACCAATACTGTGAAGACCATGAAGTCTAATTACTGAAATTGATAATAATATTCAAATTCAAAACATTAAGAGAACAATGGTGGAAGCATAATCACAAATTGAAAAACTAAGAACATAAAAAAAATCATTACACATTAAAATCTGATTTTCTACTCTCCAAAACACCCACTTTATTGAAAAACTCAATACAATCAGAAATAGCTTCATTGTAATGAGAATTGCATGAATTCCTTGGTGCTTCAAACTTTTCAGGATTTTTATGCCTTGATGAACTATGATGAGAATTACCAGGTACTACAAAACGTGCAAGCACTTTGCGGAAACTATGAAAAAGTTTCATAGCTGAAATGTTTAACTTCAACTTGTTAGGGTTTTTTTGTTCTTTTGGTATGACAAAGCTATGGTCTAGGAATTGACCTATGTTGTACATTTTCTTATTTGCTTTGGAACGTCTAGTGTTATGAATCTTATGATGTTTTTTTTTGGTTTCTTAGGGTATGCTATATATATATATATATATAGAAAAGGCTAACCAAATTCAAATGTTTTACTACAAATTAAAGGATTTGAATGAAATTATAAAGTTTCATAAATTCTTTTCCCTTTATTTAAGGTAATGTTTAAGGACATTTTGTTTTGGTGTTTTTGTTGATTTTAGTAAATAAAAGAAAGAATATATTTGCTAACATATCCATAATGATAGTAATTAACATTTCCTCATAACATTAATGGGTTAATTTAAGGATTTTTAAGAATATCTTTAAACATGGATAGATTAGTTTACATTAGAATTCAAACTTTTTTTCTTAATTAATTGAATTCCAAAAATAATAGATAAAAAGAGTCTAAGAAATAGGGATAACAATTGGATTAATTAAACAAAAAGAAAATTTTCATAATAGACAATTTTACTCTATATCCCTGCATTTAATCTCATATTTCTACAATATAAAAAATTGGACAAAAATACTTTTGTATAAATATCCAACAATTCAATATTTTTCACTTTTTTTCTCATTTTCTTCCGGTTAGAGCGTGAAAATTATGTAAAAAATTTTTGACTTCCGGAGGACTCAGACACAAGATTTTCGGTTCACGTTTTGCACTCTAGAGAACTTACTAGTAAGTTTTTCGGTTTACTTTTTTAAGTTTGTTCTTCAGATAACTTGTGGTGAAGGTATTCGATTTGTATTTTCTGCACACCGGATAACTTGTGGTATAGTTATCCGATTCTTCTATTTTCTTCACATGTTATCTGATTTTGTTGTTTACTATTCTAGAAAACTTGCCTTGTAGTTTTCTGGTTTGATGGTTTCTTTTTTTGTTATTATAATTTTTTTATTGTTTTTTAGTGGCTCGCATTCGAGGACGGGATGGAAGAATTTATCGAAAATATGACAAGGGAAGACCGACTCGACAACCGTCGATTGTACCTATTTCGCTGCATCCACCATTTCCTAGAGGACCATCTGATACGTCACTTTTAGTGAGGTATCAGAACCATGTTGCTCGGCATTTGTGGAGTATGGGTAAAACTTTCCTTCTAAAAAATACTTTTTTTTACTAATTTAACTGCACAGTAAAAAGTAAAAAAAAAAAATAAAAAGGATAATTTTAAAATATTTAAAAAATTGTAGGGATACGAGGATAAATGTGGGGTATAGGATAAAATTTTTTTTAGAATATTACGAGTTCCTAAAAAGAGATTGTTGAGAAAATTGGATAGACTTTAAAATTAAAAAACATAAAAGCTTTATGAAATTTTTTATTATCATTAAGGTAGGGTGTAGAAATTAAAACAAAAATATATTTATTGGATTAAATATAAAATTTTAAATATGTTTGTTATCAAAAAAATATATATAAGAAAAACTATTTTAAAAAGTTTTAATGCGAAAGAGATCAAAACATCCTAATATCTCCACAAAAGAACATTCACGGTTCAATAGATTAGAACGTTCTCAAATGATTAAAAAATATCTTATTATTTGAACTGGAATAATTTATTTGAGTCTGAATAAGGGATGATTTATGATAGAGTAGTTGATGACATTCCATATTCCACCTTCCATTGAAAGACACTAGCGACGGTGGTTTGAGGTTCTCTGAGACTTGATCATCCCAGATAGCTTTGGATAAAGGTTTGGGAATCTAGAGGCTCCTCCTCTGTGTCCCCCTAATGCTGGCTCTGTGTTTGCAAAACCTGAACACTGTCTTGCAAGGTTTCATTTTGTTGACGAAAATCCTCCACCATCGTTAGCAATTGAGTTATATCCAGTGGCGGAGGTGGATCACTTCGGCTAGGAGATGATTTGGACATCGTGCAGATGAGCTACTAGCGATTTTGATGGTGGATTTTGTATGGTCTGAGCAAGTTTTACCGAGACTCCACGATAAACGTCAAATGTTCTTGCTAAAAAATACTAAAAGGTTGACTTTCTTGTTATCGGTCAAGGAGAGCCTAAAACAATTGGTTGAAGTGTCAATTATCTATTTGTTATTTGATTTTTGCCCGCCTTCAACTGTTTAAGCAGTCTCTCATTTATATGTCTCCACCTTCCCCTCCTTATGTCCTGTTTTTACCCTTTATATTTCTCATAAATACATCTTTAAGTAACATTCGATGCCCCTACAATTGTCATGCAATGTCTATCAATCATAACTATCTTATCATCATGTATCATTTTATAATTGTATCCTGCGACCCTTAAGAGGGTATTCTAGTATAGTCATCGGGACCAGACTTGTATGAACGAGGTCGGACCAAAACATGTATAAAATTAAAAAGTCCTAGCTAGATCAAATATATTACTTTATTTATTTATCCAAATTTACAGCATTTATGTATACAAATTTTGTTCGGAGTTAGTTTACAACCAAACAACATTTCTGTTAATGAAAACAGTTCATCATGAAATCAAAGTCGTAAGTAAGAACACATAACAACAAAGAACACAGAAAAATAAGCTAAACATGTCTGTTTCTGTTACCGTCACCTCCGCCGTGGGACCCTTTCTTTCCCGATCCCGCCGGCGTTCAACGACGGCCCTCCGATCCAGCAAGGTTTCACTTGAACAAACGAAATTATTAACGAAACTGAAACAAGAGTGTGCCACTCCTCTTCCCCTTCTTCAGCATGTGGCCGATACCATGTCTTCTGAAATGCGGGCCGGGCTTTCCTCCGTAGACGGGCCCGGGCTTCCCATGATACCTACATATGTCCACACTCTTCCCACCGGGTATATATGTTTGTTTTCCTTTCTTTCTTAGCTTATTACTATTTCACTTCAGGATGATCGATCCATAGTTGTTTTGATACAGGAATGAGAAAGGGTTGTTTTATGCATTGGATCTTGGTGGAACAAACTTTCGTGTCTTGAGAGTAGAGTTAGGTGGCAAAGATGATCGTGTTATTTCCACTCAGTTTGAACAAGTTTCTATACCTCATGATCTCATGTTTGCTACATCCGAGGTAACATTGACACCTCTGAACAAAGACGTGTTAGGTGTGTTTGGCATGTGCCAGTGTTAGACACCATCACATACGATTAGGTTAAATTTATTCTTTTTTTTTCAGTGTCAACATGTTAATGTCGGTGTCGCAGTGATTCATGGCGAGATATTTTGTTTGTTTGTTTTGCATGTTAAAGCTTTGTTGTTTTCTTAATGATTGGGATATAATATAAGTAGGAGCTGTTTGACTTCATTGCTTTGGGGCTAGCTAAATTTGTAGCAAAAGAGGATGGTAAATTTCATTTTCCACCGGGAAGAAAGAGAGAAATTGGATTCACATTTTCATTTCCTGTGAAACAAACATCTATTGATTCTGGCATACTAATCAAGTGGACTAAGGGTTTTGCTGTCTCTGGAACTGTATGTGTTTCTTTCTTAGCCTCTTTTCAATCTTAACCGCTTTTCGCTATTTAGTAACAAAACTCAAGCCCTTTATACAGGTAGGACGAGATGTGGTTGTTTGTTTGAATGAGGCTATGGAAAGACAAGGACTAGATATGCGAGTTTCTGCTCTGGTATGATGTTTGTATCGTAATAGGCTTGTGAATTGTGGTAATTTTTCATATAAGTTTTAACAAAATGCAGTATTGGTATGTATGATTTTAGTAATTGTTTACCTAATAGGTTAATGATACTGTTGGAACACTAGCTGGAGCAGAATACTATGATAATGATGTTAAGGTTGCTGTTATTTTGGGTACCGGAACCAATGCTTGTTATGTCGAGCAGATAAGTTCCATTCCAAAATTACAAGGTCATGTTGCTTCTTCTGGTAAAATGGTTAGTAACTAAGAGTGGCACACTTTATTTTAAATTTTGTTGATGAATTAGCTCATCTTAATTAATGTGAAAAATAAAACATTGTTTGATTGATTCAGATCATTAGTACTGAGTGGGGGGCTTTCTCCAAAGGTCTACCTTTAACCGTGTTTGATAGAGAAATGGACGCTGCTAGCATCAATCCGGGTCAGCAGGTAAGTTTCTACACTGTCTCAGGAATTTTTCTGCAAGAGTGGCAATGAGAAAAGTAATCTTTTCATATCATTGAGCAGATCTTTGAGAAGACAATCTCAGGAATGTATCTAGGAGAAATTGCGAGACGAGTGCTACTCAATATGGCTGAAGAGGATGATTTGTTTGGAAGTTCTGTCTCTCAAAAACTGTCTACGCCGTTCATACTTGGGTACATTTTAACTCCAAAGTTTAATTCTACAGCTCAAAGCATTTAGTAGTAGGAGAATTAATTGCTAGCAATACACTAGATATGCTATGAATTCTAATTGTTGATATTGATAGAATTTGGTGATGTTAAAACTATTGTCGTTCTATATTAGGACTCCCGATCTATGCGCCATGCATCAGGATGATTCTGGCGATTTACAAATTGTCGGGTCCCTCCTTTATGATAAAGCAGGGGTAAACTTCTTGAACTGTTCTTTCATAACATTAAGATGTGAAAGAAAAAACTCAGTATTAATCTCAATCATTAATTTTACTTTTCTGTTATCTTTTCATTCACTTGTTGTTCTCTTCAGGTTGAATCCAATCTAAGGGAAAGAAAAGCAGTTCTAGAGGTTTGCGACACAATTGTAAAGCGAGGCGGTAGCTTAGCTGGTGCAGGAATTGTAGGAATTCTGCAAAAAATGGAAGAGGACTCAAAAGGTGATTTCTTTGGAAAGAGAAGTGTCGTTGCCATTGATGGGGGTCTGTATGAAAATTATCCTCAATATAGGACTTACTTGCAAGATTCAGTAAAGGAGCTATTAGGGACAGAAAAATCAAACAATGTGGTCATAGAACACTCAAAAGATGGTTCTGGTATTGGAGGTGCTCTATTGGCAGCTTCAAATTCAATGTACAAGCAAGATTGAACATTTTGTTCAACTAGTATATAATTATTGGAATGGAGCTAAATATCATTAAATTGAAACTTGATACAGAAGCTATATACATAAATATCATGTAACTGTTATGGCAAGCTATCATGTTCTATCTATATGTGATTATTCCTTAAGCAACAAGTAACCAATTTAACAACTTCTATAACTAACTTTAAACTGAATTAAAGTTTGTTAGTGACTTGTAACTAACTCATCTCCATAGTCTTCACTCCTCTTTTGATCATTGCTTCATTTTGATCCTTTCACATTTGCATGATTTTTAACATCCCCACAAGTTGAAGGTTGTATATATCTTCCAACTTTAATGAATGGTTGAGGATGTAAGGCTTTGCTGAAGAGATCAATTAATTGATTTCTCAACTTCACAAGAAGTTTTACAATCTCTTTGCTTTGCTTCGTGATAATCTATTTTTAAGTGTTTTGTCCTTTTGTGAAAAATTAGATTGACTCCAAAATGTAAAGCATTTTATCTTCAAATCGTTCATGAGATAATATTCCACTAAAAGTTAATAGACCAAAATAAATCTAAAATTAACATACTGAGAAAAAAAAAATTAAACCTACTTATGACTATACTATTACCACCGATTGAGTTGTACTTAGAAACTCAATTCTATTTCTTACCAATCATAATTAGTGGACAAAAATTCAAATTATGAGCGGCATTCAATAAATATATTATTTATTAAACTATTTCTGATTATTGTACAATGATAATTCATGTAATTACAATTTAATTGACCATTATAAAGATATCCTATTGAGGTGTAGGTTTGAACCCAAGACTCCACTTATTTATTTTTAAAGAATAAAATTCTAACTATTAAACTATTTACAAAATAATCTTTTGATGTATATTATTATTCTAGTTATTCATAAATAACATGGTATAAAGATATTATGGTAAATATTTTGGTATCTTTATGTAGAAGTTTTCTAATTTTAATAAAAATTATAAAAATTTAAAATCACATAAAATTAAATATTATTGATTTTTTTTTCAAAAACTATCAAATAATATTAATTTTTCAAAATCAAAATATAATGCATTCATGTATTTAAATTTTTTATTTTTTAAAACTAATATTATATATTACATTAATATAGTATTAGTTAACTTTTAATTTTCTTATATATAAATTTAAATTAATTCAATTTATTAATTATTTTATATGTGTCATAGTCAATAGTTGTCATCACATAATTTTAATTATAATATATCATATGTTTTACATCGGATATAATTTTTTATTTTAGCATATCTTTATGATATTAATACTAATAAAAAAATTAATAATTTATAATTTGAATATTCAAAAATTAATTTAAAATAAAAAATATTGATTTGAATAAAATTTGTTTGTGGGTGGCTAGAAGGCCCAACGGTCGTGGCCCAGAGAATGGAATGATTCACTAAGTCATCCGTATGATAGGAGTGTTATTTAAAATTAGTCCATGGAAAATCCGAATGCAGTATACATTCAATGTCTCTTTGCATCATACATCTAATGGTAGACAGTTTTTTATAACAGTTCTACTATATAAAGAAAATCTTTTTTCAAAGACATTTTAAATCTAAACTTCATTCACTCATATTATTCATATACTCACTTGAGTGTTGCAGTGTTAACCTTTTGGGTCAGTCCATCTCTCATTGCACTAGAATCTCAAGTCCGCAATTGCATCTCGCAACCTTCAATCTCCGATTAGTTCTAGTTCCCAAGCCGCCGAGCGGAATATCGGCATTTGATTCTTGCGTTTTCCACGTTCAAACATTCATCTACCGATTCACCGAATCAAAGCTTCTCAACATAGCAATTTGGATTTACAGACTCTTTGACAAAGGTGATCAACCATTTCTTTAGATAAAGTTCCTCTTGGGACATATCACTCTCTTTGTAGACGTATGATCCATTTCCTGTCAAAAAAAGACATTGGTTTCAATATTTAAGAAATAAACGGGTGCACCTATTTTCCGTCCTGGTCCCTATGGTACATACAATCACATGAGTCTCTTTATGAAGAAGAGAAAAAATAAACCAATTTTCAAAATGCTTTACAATATCTAAAAACAATTTGAAACAACAGATAACCTGCACCAATGTGATCAAGTTTTGGCCATATGCGTGATTTGCCAAACTACATTATACTCTAGAAAGATGGACAAAAATGGATAAAGAAGGCTTTCCTCTCTAGTAATAACACCAATACTTGAAGACTTTGATGTAAGCCTAACTCACAAGGTACGCCTGCAAATGAGTGATCGTCAGGTAGTTTAAAACCTCTATTTTAAAACTGTTGAAAGAAATACGGAAACCCAAGATCGAAAATGTGCACTCATAGAAAGGAAATACGCACCCATCATACTCGCTACATATCCTTTTATCTTTCTTAGGAGTCAGTACACCTCAGTTTAAAGAAGGACCCACGTCGAAGAACGCCTTTTCAATATTATATTCACGATCAAATTTAGAGGAATTTGCCAAAAAGAAAGATAATAAACATTATCAATGACCCAAATTGTCTCAAGAAAACACTCAAGTACTTCAGTTTCAAAATGTTATTATGATATAAAACTTACGAAAAAACATTTGAAGTATGAGGCACATTTAAGACACAAATTTTCAATGACGTTAATGTCACCTCTTGACTTTCCATTCAAGTTAGGTTATATCCGACACAAAAGGACAAAGGCAACAAAGTCAATGGCTTGGGAGCCAACTACTCTAGGTCGGCCAGAAGGCCCAACAACTGCGGCCCAGAGAATGCAATGATTCACAAAATCACTTGTAAAGTATAAGTGTTATTCTGGGTTTGCTCAAAGGCAAACCGAATCTAGGATCCATCCAACGGCTCCTCGCATCCTACGTTTAATGATAAACAGGTTGTTATAACCACTCTATTATATAAAGAAAAGACATATAATTTTCAAGGGATATTTTAAATTCAAATTTCATTCACTCATATTATTCACATACTAACTTGAGTGTTGGAGTGATAACTTTGCAGTGAAATTGGTGAGTTTTTTTTAACTAGGAACTTGAGTTTTTTTTAACTTGAAACTTTTGTCATGGTCTTTATAGTGAAATTGATGAATTTTTTTAACTAGGAACTTTCTTTATGGTCTTCATAGAAACTTGGTGAGTTTTTTTCAGCTTAAACTTTTTTTTGTAGTCTTTATAGTGAAATTGATGTGTTTTTTAACTTGGAAATTTTGATTTTCTTTTTGTTATAAAATTTGTGAGTTTTTAAACTTGGAACCTTAGTTATGGTTTTTAGAGTGAAATCGGTGTGTTTTTTTCTTTTTGAACTTTTGATATGTTCATTATGGTGAAATTGTTGTATAGTGAAATTTATGAGTTTTTTAACTTGCAACTTTGTTATTTGTTTTTAAATGGAAATTGTTGAGATTTTTAACTTTGAACTTCTATTTTTCATTTTAAAGGGACATTTTAAATTCAAATTTCATTCACTCATATCAGTCACTCTATCATCGCACTGAAGTCTCAGATCCATCATGGCATCTCGCAATCTCTAATCTCCGATCAATTTTAATTCCCAAATAAACAGAATTAAATAGTTTTTTAAATAATCGTTCAAAATAAATCATATAATTTATCATTTTACATTTTCTTCTCATAACCGATTCAGATTGCATCATAAACCTTTCAGTAACTTCAAATAATTTTAACTAAATCAGAAACCTTTCATCAACTTCAAACAATTTGAACCAAATCATAACTAAAATTTAAGTCAAAAAATCTTTTAACTTAAAATTTTCCATATACATGTATCTGAAAATATTTTCCCATACATATCTCACACTTAATAGTTTCACAATGAACTAACACTTTAATAAAAGTATTGTTTAAAAATAAATGTGATTTCAATTTTCAAATGTAATATTAATTATGTTTTCTAACTGTGCCGCATAATTAACATGGGGATTTGGTTGTGTCACATAATTAACATGGTGATTTGATTATAATAATATTAATTATGGTTTTCAATAATATTAATTATGTTTTCTAATAGTACATAGTTTTAAAACCTTATTTCCTTCTATTTTCTATTTATAACGGTAACAAATAAATTAATAGTTAATAATGATGATCTATATGATAATCATTCTCTTTATTCTTTTACAGCGAATTATAAAACTGAATTTGTACAAAATTAATTATTATTAAGTGTGATTGGATGTTTTTTGTTTAAATGTTTAGATTGAGCTTGAATTAATTTTTCAAACACCAAATAAACCACAAACATAATTTTCATCTCATTATATTTATTTTTAATAGCGTTCAGACGAGCACCCACGTGACCGTCTATATGTTTTTTATAATACTCACACATTTAAAATTGTATTATTATTTTTATTTAATTTTTATTTTATTATTTATTATTTATAAAATAGTAGTAATAGATAATGGTGTCAAAGTTAATAAATTGTTAAATAACCATCCTTTGTTAGAAAGAAAAGTTAAAATTTAAAATAAAAACAGAAAATGATATATTTAAAAAGAAAAAAAACTACACTAAAATTATGTTTTCTCTTTATATATAAGTATAAATTATTTGTAAAATAATAGTAGTAGATAATAATATAAAAGATAATAAATTATCACATAGCTACCATTTGTTAAAAAGTGAATTTAAAATTTAAAATAAAAATTGAAAATAATATATTTAAAAAAAAGAGAAAAAAAAGCTACATCAAAATCATGAAATTATGTTTCCCTTTATATATAAGTATGGATATAATATATAATATATTTTGGATCACCAATACTGTGAAGACCATGAAGTCTAATTACTGAAATTGATAATAATATTCAAATTCAAAACATTAAGAGAACAATGGTGGAAGCATAATCACAAATTGAAAAACTAAGAACATAAAAAAAATCATTACACATTAAAATCTGATTTTCTACTCTCCAAAACACCCACTTTATTGAAAAACTCAA